GAGTTATCTATAGAATTAGGGCACAAGTAGTGTAGCACATATCGATCTGGGTAGTCTTTAAATATAGCAGCACAAGGTTATGACCCGACGTAATTGTAGGTGGTGGTAAATGTACTACATAAATTCCTAATAAAAATTCGCCTGTTCGTTACATTGCGAGGAATAGAGGTTGGAATCGAACTTAATTTTTAAATTTGAATTTTTATAGGCCGAATTTGAATTAATTCGAATAAATTCATATAAATTCGAATTAATTCAAATTTGCGAATATTTATTGATTCGCATTATAAAATGGTTAACTGCCCATGTGGCGCAGTATTTGAACCAATTTGCAGTTAATTACCTATGTGTATAGCATTTAATGGTTATATATTTCAAAGGGTCCATATTACTTTACTAACAATCACTTCACCAACAGCTCATTTAGCCGACATCACGTCAGGTGAAATTTAGTAAAAATAGATACCTGCAACTAATCAAATGCTTAATTCTAACCCTACGTGATGTCAACTAAATAAGCGTTCGGTGAAGTGATTGTCAGTGAATTGATCGAAACCCATTTCAAAAGTTTCATTTAATCTATTTATATAGCATTTAACAGTTATATATTTTAAAACAGCACTTAAAAATTAACCTCCTTATATGAAGCTAAACTGTTAAGTATTTCAAAGTATTGTATAGCACAGTACTTAATGGCTATGCATTTCAAAAGCACTTAACTACATTATGTAGCATAGCATTTAATATCTACACATTTCAAAGTAGATTAACTGCCTTATAACAAGTTATATAATTTAATGAACGGGTTTTAAAAGTTATGCAATTTAATATAATATAATGATAATCATATCAATAATTTATTTAACAATTATTAAATAACACAAACTTATCATTATAAATCAAATGTATAAGGGAACAAAAAAGGTACATATAATAATAGTAAATTTCTATGATTTAATTGGAATATATTGATCGGTCTTATTAATGAATAAATGAATTTTTTTATTCTTACTTGTGATCATTACAAAACTAACTCAAATTAGACCAGGTTTGCAAATTGCCAATTTTCAAATAAATGTTACTATATTTTGCTATTTATTAAAAGAAATCAACTAAATCAATAAATTTATTTATATAAAATTATATATTAGGGGATTCAGAGCTAAGGTTCAAGTTTTTGATTTATTTCAAAATTAGTGATTTATAAAGCTTATTTATTTTTATTTGTAAGCTTATTTATATAATAATGAAAACATTTATGTTTGTAAACTTTTAAAAAAAAAGTTTGCTTGTTTTATCTCTGAATAACTCCTATTTCATTTTCTAATTTCTAAATTTAAAAACAAAAATAGAACTTTTCAAGCTCCCACTTATTTTCAAAATAAGTTAACTCTGAAACCCCTATTGTATAGTTAGATCGGGTTTCTTAATAGACTAAACTGTACAATATTTACTTAATAATCTTTAAGGTAGCAATTAAACATAGATAAAACAAAAGGTAATACTTTTTAATTACTAGATTTATTAATCTCAATACTCATCCAAAATTAGGGATCAAATAATGACAAGACTAGTTAAAAGGTTGGTTTTTATTCAGTCTTTTTAGGACTGATCCATATAACTCTCAATGATCACAAATGTGATTAAAGGCAAGTCGAAGATCGGGCACTAATGTTTCAATATAAAAAATAAGGTTTACCAACTTTATTAGTGTTTTATTTATTTAGAGCGAAAAAGCTAACTATTTATTATTTTCTCATTCTTTTTGTATACCATTACATTTGACTACTCAACTACATTTTTTATACATTATAATCAATAATCGATATTACTGATTACTCTCTAATTTATTCTCTTACACTATTGTGATCAACCTATGCAATCATGAGACTATAATTTGAATTTTACATGAATAAGTGACTAAGTATTATGATTATTATTTTTATTTATTTATTTTTTTTTTACACACTACAATAGCTTGTCAAAATCAGTTTTGCATCGCAAATTGGTGCTTGACTACATATGGTGTAATGGTTGAAGAGAGCCAGAGAAAATAGTAAATTTCTAACAATCAGCTGCACGTTAACAATTATGTCAAATATTAAATCATTCACCTGCACGTTAACAAATATGTCAAAAATTAATTAAATATATTAATTAAATCAGGTGTATGTATAAGAAAGCAGTTAAAAACAATAACTTTTTAGACAGTAATTTTATAATGGTAGGGGTTTTAATACCTTAATATTTCTAATATATATCTTGAATAAAATAATGCAAGAGTGTAAAGGAACAAATAATTTAATATAAGCAATTAATAAAATGATTGCTCCTTATGCTAGTAGACAGGTATTAAAAGAATTATTAGCATTTTAGCACTTTCATTTTTTTATATATATCTAAAAAAAAAATCGAGTTAACTGATAAAAAATATCATCTGATATTGATTCACCTTTACAGTCTCAAAGTTCTTCTGACAACTTAAATGCAACCTCACCCTCACCTATCAAAAAAACTGTTCATAAAAGAAGAAAACGTGCTACTAATGTAGTTCGTAACAGTTTTGTTCATTCTTTTTATAAAGAAGATTCAGTTTTACAAACTGCTAAATGTAAAATTTGTATTGAAAAGTTCAAAGATACACATGGTTCAACTACTGATTTGCGCAATTACTTAAAAGAACATGGAATTAATAAACTAAATTATAAAAATTTTCTTGACAAACATAATGAAGTAAGTTAATAATTTGCTTTTATATTTCTTTTTATATAATATCTAATATATATATCTTTATATTAATTTACAATAGCTACAAAAAAATAGTTTTCAAGCTACAAAGATGAATTCTGATTCTCTCCCAATTAGTACTTATAAATAAACAAGAATTATTCGTCATTTGATTACTTTTATAATTTGTGATGTTCAACTGCTGCTTATTTTAAAATACCTATCGTTTAGAGAATTAATACATGAATATGTTCCAAGATATTCTTTTCCATGTGACAAAACTGTAAAAAATATTATTTTTACTTCATATACGTGGACTCAGAGACAAATATTAGAATTAATTAATAATACGGCACAAACCATTAATCTAACAACAGATCTTTGGATGGCCAAAAGTAATCGTGGATATCTTGGAATTACAGTGACTTGGCTAAATGCAAACTTTAAGTTTTATGAAGCACTTTTATCTTGTCATTATCTTCCATATCTACATACAGGTGAAGTTATTAGGGATGAATTAATAAAAGTTATTCAAGACTGAAATTTAGAAAACAAAATATTTACTATTGCTACGGATAATAGCACTAATATGATTAAGGCTTGTTATTTGTTGGAAAAAGAATTTAATTCAGTTAAGCATTTGTCTTGTGCTGCGCATACACTCCAGCTTTCAGTTCAATCTGGAATTAAGCAAGTAACAACAATTCATAAATGGCTTAAAAATATACAAACATTTTTTGTAGTCCTAAACAAGCTCAACAACTTCGTGAAGCACACGAAAATATTATGCAAGATCAAGATAATTTTATAGAAAATGATAATAATTATTCAAATTTATTAAAGGTTTTAACTGATTGTAAGACAAAGTGGAATAGTTCATATCTTGCGTGGAAAAGAGTTTTAAGTTTAGATGATTTGATTAGAAGTGTTGCTGCCACTCTTTGTTTATTACAAAATTCATAAATTCATAAAGAAGGTGACTGTCTTAATAACTTACGTCTTAATTCTAAAGAATTCAAGTAAGTTATTTTTTTTTTTTTTGTTATTTAAATATTTATTGTTATTTTTTAGTTTTGTTAAAAGTATAGTGAAGCTTTTGGCACCATTTGAAGAAATAACTCGAAAAGTTTCTGGTGCAAAATATCCTACTATTAATTTAATATATCCCTATATGTACTTATTAAAGTATAAGTTTGCCCCAACTGGTGATAAAACACTAGAAGGTTATATAGACTTAATATATGGACCAATTTTATCTGAAGATACTGATGAAACTAATGATACTGGCAGCAGTACAGAAGATAGTGCTGAAGATTCATCATCTAGCTCTGGTATCTATCAACATTCAAGAAAAATTCATAAAAATAATAATAATAAAGGCAAGTGTAAAGGTCGTAAATATAAACATGAATGTAGATATAGACGTGGACTTGGATATAGGCTTGGACATGGACATGGACGTGGATGTGGATGTGGACAGAAATATAAACAGGATTATAGTTATGATAGTCAACAGGAAAGTGAATATGATGATAATTTTGTTAATTTGATAGAAAAATTTAAAGCTGCAATTTACCTTTCTCTTGATGAATTATAGAATATTCTAGATGAAGTAGCTCTTTTAGCTACAATTTTGGATTCTTGTCTTAAAGGTCTTCAATTTGTTAATCAAGATGAATATATTAGTATTCAAGAAAAACTTTTAGTTAAATATGAAGAATTAAGACATGCAACTCCATTAACACAAGTATCAATTAATTTAATTAATCAAGATGAAGAGGATGATACATTTGCTAGTATGTGGGCTTCTGGTCAAGAAATAATTCAGGCTAAGAAAGATGAAGTTTCTCAATATATGAATCTTCCTGAGACATTAGAAAATGAAGATCCACTAACTTGGTGGAATGATCATAAAAAAACTTTTCCAACTTTATCATCTTTGGCTTGTAACTATCTTGGTGTTTCTGCAATATCAGTTCCGAACGAAAGACTCTTTACTAATGCAGGTGCTCATATTTCAGCTTGCCGAACTAAATTGCATTCAGATTTGGTAAATCATATGCTTTTTTTAAAAAGAAATATTGAGCATGTTAACAATATTTTCCCCCTATTCCTGAATAACATTACCTTCTTATCATAATATATATATGTATATTATATGTATTATATGTATATTTATATTATATATTGGGAATAGAGGTGCAGACATATTGTCATAATTAGTTATGACCTATTTTAAAAAGATTATTTTTATTGAGGTAATTAGGTTACGACCTAATTACGACAATATGTCTGCACCTCTAATTGGAAATATGACATTAATTATATCACTAAGCATATTGTTACTATTGTTTATATCAAAAAGTAATATCCAAATTTAGTTCTAATAGTAGTGTTCTAAAGAATCATATCTTTTGTAAACTACTATAACTATCTTATTTCCTGCATTAGCAGAAAATTTTTAAAAAGATCAACTTCTATTAATATGAATATCAATTAATAACATACTGTATATTTAATAATTAAACTTTAATATCAATATTAATGAATACGCCTTATTTCACTAACAATTATTTTGAAGTTTCTTGTTTATTATTGCTACAAAAATCACAGAATTACATGTATTGTAAACCACTATAACTATCTTATTTCCTGCATTAGCAGGAAATTTTTAAAATAATTAATTTTTATCAATATGCATATTAATAATTAAACTTTAATATCAGTATTAATGGATACGCCTTATTTCATTAATAATTATTTTGAAGTTTCTTGTTTATTATCACTACAAAAATCACCAGAATCACGTATATTGTAAACCGCTATAACTATCTTATTTCCTGCATTAGCAGGAAATTTTTAAAATAATTAATTTCTATCGATATGCATATTAATAATTAAACTTTAATATCAGTATTAATGGATACGCCTTATTTCACTAACAATTATTTTGAAGTTTCTTGTTTATTATTGCTACGAAAATCACAGAATCACGTTTTTTGTAAACCACTATAATTAGCTTATTTCCTGCATTAGCAGAAAATTTTTAAAATAATTAATTTCTATCGATATGCTATACATATTAATTAATAATAGACTGTATATTTAATAATTAAACTTTAATATCAGTATTAATGAATATGCCTTATTTTACTAACAATTATTTTGAAGTTTCTTGTTTATTATCACTATGAAAATCACAGAATCACATTTTTTGTAAATTGCGTATTTCCTGCATTAGCCAGAAAATTTTAAAATAATTAATTTCTATCGATATGCATATTTATAATTAAACTTTAATATCAGTATTAATCAGTGTTGTTAAATTTGCATGGTCATTTGCCTTTTTGAAATAACTTTTGTTAGGTCATTTGAGTCATTTGAAATTTATTATTAAATTTCATATATAAAAGGTTATTTCAGGTCATTTAAAAGTCATTTGCGACTATTTTTAGATCATTTAACAACACTGGTATTAATGGATATGCCTTATTTCACTAACAATTATTTTGAAATTTCTTGTTTATTATCACTACAAAAATCACAGAATCATGTTTTTTATAAACCGCTATAACTAATTTCTCGCATTAGCAGAAAATTTTAAAATAATTAATAATTAATTTCTATTAATATGCATATTAATAATTAAACTTTAATATCAGTATTAATGGATATGCCTTATTTCACTAACAATTATTTTGAAGTTTCTTGTTTATTATTGCTACAAAAATCACAGAATCACGTTTTTTGTAAACCACTATAATTATCTTATTTCTTGCATTAGCAGGAAATTTTTTAAAATAAACAACTCCTATCGATATGCATGTCAATTAATAATATATTGTATATTTAATAATTAAACTTTAATATCAGTATTAACAGATACATCTTACTTTACTAACAATTGTTTCACTAATAGCTCATTTAATTGATATCTTGCTATGTGAAATTTTAACAAATAATATATGATTGATAAATTATTTAGAATCTTAGAAGTTTCTTGCCATTATTGCCATGAAAATCACAGAATCACATCTTTTGCAAACTATTATAACTCTTATTTCCTGCATTAGCAGAAAATTTTTAAAATAAACGATTCTAATAAGGGTGGAACGATTGTTAGATAACGTTAATATTTTTTATTGATATATAACAATAATATACAGTACTGTATATTTAAATAATTAAACTTTAATATCAGTATTAAGCAGAACTTAGATTAATTTATAATGTTCAATCCAAATCAGCATTGATTTTTGCAAATAAAAGATATTTAAGAGTAAGGTTTGCTATTATTAAAGAAGCTCAGAATTTGTTTATCATATATTTAGCTTTATACATCTTAATGTCTCAGCCTGCTTCATGACGTGGCCCTAAAAATATTGTATGCAATGAATGTAAAGAAAAAAAAGTAGGCTGTAAAGGCATTTTTTTATTTTGTTTCAAGTAGGAAGAAGTGCAAAATTGTTTAGCAAGACTTTATATTAAGCCTATTCCTGCAACACATCTATGTGTTAGATGTGCCAATATTAAAAGATCATGTAATGGAACTTACGCATTGTGTTATCGCTTTCCATAGCATTTATATCATAATAAACATCAATTGGTTTTAAAAGATGAAAATATACCATATATTAATGGCTAATCTCCACAACAAACTTTTGATAATCCAACGCCTCCACCTGAAACTTTACCATTATCAGAATTTGAAATTACTTTACCGCCAGCTAGCCCTAACTTTCCTGAAAGAGGTGCAAGAGAAATATCGATAAAGGCTAAAGTTTGTAAAATAATAGGAGGTCCTTATAAAGAAGTAACCATGGAAATCGATACTCAATCTGATGTAACATGGATATCTTTAGGATTATTTAATTTTTTAAATCTTGAAAAAATTGATTTTGATGAAGAAGTAATTACTGGGCATGGTAATGCTATAATTTCTGTACATTGTATTACTTTATTATATATAAAAATTAATAAAATAAAAGTATACCATATAATTCCCAAAATAAGCTACCTTTTTTTTGGGAAAAATTACCCAAAAATATTAAAGGTAGCTTATTAT